AGACAGGCAGGTCTGGAAGAGATGCTTTTGAAGGTCACAGTGTCTGACTGGATATTGTGAGTAACTTGGATTGGAAGGAAAGTGGAATGGATTGTTCCTTTGCTTTCGTTCTAAGTAGCTGGCATTGTTTCACATGGGTCAGGCTTTATGCTATGAGCATATGCAGGTCTCCTTAGTTGAAATCTTAGTCTGGTTTTGCTCTCTGGACATAGTACTGACCAATTTCTAAGATAAGGTTGCATAGAGAGTCCCAGGGAGCAGGTAATAGCTCAGATGTCTCATCTGCACTTGAGGCACAACAATGGTGTGCAGTGCTACAGGCTGGGGGAAGAGTGGCTGGAAAGCTGCCCACAGGACAAGGACATGGTGCTGGTCAACAGCCGCTGAGCATGAGCTGGCAAGTGTGCCAGGTGGCCAAGAAGGCCAGTGGCATCCTGGCATGTATCAGCAGTAGTGTGGCCAGCAGGACCAGGGCAGTGATTATCCTGCTGTTCTTGGTACTGGCAAATCCACACCTCAAATCCTGTGTTCAGTTCTGGGCCTCTCACTACAAAAAAGACGTTGGAGCATGTCCAGAGAAGGGCAGCAAAGCTCGTGAAGGGTCTGGTGCAGAAGTCTTATGAGGAGTGGCTGAGAGATCTGGAGGTGTTTAGTCTGGAGAAAAGAAGGCTCAGGGGAGGGAGACCTTATTCATTGATCTTCTCTTACAAGTAACAAGCAACAGGATAAGAGGAAATGGCCTCACAGTGTGCCAGGGTGGTTTAGATTAGGGTTAGGTTAATCTTCTCTTACGCACAATCCTGAGGGTATTTCAAGTGGTTTTATATATTTTATAGAAATATTTCACTTTCTGTTTAGGAGGTGAAAAGCTCTCCTTAGCTGGACATAAGTGACATTTCAGCAACTCTGTAACGCTGACATATGATTTTTTACTGGCCTGGAAGTGGACAAGAACATGTGCTTTCCTACACTGCACCATGCAGAGTATCAATCTCAAACAAATTCACCCCCCACAACTACCAGAAAGGAGGTTGTAGTGAGGTGGGAGTCAGTCTCCTCTCCCAAGTAACAAGTGATAGGACAAGCAGAAATGGCCTCAAGTTGCACCAGGGGAGGTTTAGATTAGGTATTAGGAAAAGTTTCTTCCGTGAAAGGGTTATCAGGCATTGCAGCAGGCTGCTGAGGGAAGTGATTGAGTCACCACCCGTAGAGATACTAGAAAGACATGTAGATGTGGCACTCAGGGACATGGTTTAGTGGTGGGCTTGGCAGTGCTGGGTAAAGGTTGGACTTGATTATCATAGAAGTCTTTTCCACCAAAGTGATTCCATGTTTCTATCTAAAATAATGGTCAAATTCCATTCCCTGCTGCAGCACTGCAGTTAGTCTTCAGCTGAGAATCAGGATTTTAATGAGGAAAGCTCTGGAATATATCCCCCTTTATGGACAACAGCTTAAATTTTAGTGCGCCTAAATGGAACAGCCCTTGAAGGTGTATGTAGGTGAGGGAGTCAGTATCAGGATTAACTTTTCCAGTCCACACTATGTATGTCTAAGTTGCCATGTGCATCATTTGCATAGTAAGACTTGAAATGGCCAAGTGCCAAGAAAAAGAAATAAAGGAGCCTTTCAACTCTGTTAGAGGACAAAACAAATAAGAAAGCCCTAAAGTCAAAACATACTGGAGAAAGTTTGATTTTTAGGGAAGAGCAAGCCATAATCTAAAGAAACATGCAATCAGGAATGAGGAACTTTTAACACTCTCCCTAACTGAGGTTAAAAATAAAAATAATACAATTGGTGCATATCTATATCTTCCAGCATCTGAATTCTTTTTCAAAGCTAAGTATTTGCTCCTTTTAGAACTCTTTTTGCTTTTTGTGCAAAATTTCTATTAATAGATGATAAGATCAGGATTTGCTGTTTAACAGCTATGCAGGAAAATGTACCTTCTGATTTTCCATGACAGTTTAGTCCTAAAACAAAGCTGGTTAAAATTGTTTTCTTCCCATCAGGTTACAGTAATACAGACTCAGCAAATACCTACCTGACCTCAGATGGTGAATACTCACTTCATGGCTACATCATCCACTCTAATGATCACCTTTGGCCTCTCTTCACAAACTTGGAGTCTGCTGTTAAAGAAGGCAGCAGGCAGAACCATCGAGCCTTTGGAAAGAAATCAGAGGATTTATTTAAGGTAATATAAACCTTATTAGTATCAAAACCAGCTGTGAGGTGTCCAGAACTGATATAGGGGCAAATTGAGACTGAACTGTCTGAGAAAGTTGGTCACACTTGGAATTGGTAGAAACACAATGCAACTCACCAGTCCCAGGTTCTGCTGCCTTCGACTTTAGGCAGTGAAGTGGTGGAGCAATTACAGAATACACTGGGAAGTTCAAGTGCTGACAAAAATTCCCTGGCTGAAGTGTTGCTCTCCCACTGATACACTCTAAGAACAAACTCTGGGCCTGTTTAATTTACATTTCTGTCCTTTTTATAACACCAGATAGTACCTTATCACACATGCAGTCCTTCCATGTTGGATGCCAGTCACTTGAGACTGATGTGCTTCCTTAGGCTGTTTAGGCTGTGCTGAGTGTGTAGTCAAAGTTGTTTTGTGTTGATGCAATGGAGAAGGGATCTGATCTCCTCTATGAAGGTTTGTAGTTTTGTATATGCTTCAGGCTGGTATATATTGCTGATAGGAATTGTAATCCTTTCTGCCATCTGTTTCCATCTCTGTGGCATTCCTTTTCCAGTGCTAGCCCAGGTGGATGTGTTCAGACTGGAGAATCACTTAGGGTTATAACTAGCCAAACTTGTTAATTACCCATATGGTGAAACAGGTTGAGAGACATAAATATTTGTGCCTGTTTAAGGAGAGAGATAGTAGTGTGAGCAGGAGAATATGTCAGGACTTCATCTCTGACAGCAGTGCTGGCTTAAATTTTACTTCAGATGACATCCTGAGGTTCTTAATTTGTGTTTAACTTCTAGATGATGATGAAGCCAGTCCCCTAAAGGAGATCTCTACATTCTTCATGTACAGTTGATAGAAGGAAATAAGGACTTTTGGAGACTTAAAGTCCTGTTAACTTAATGGTAGTACTTGGATTACTAGAGGACAGAAGCTCCTTTAGGAATCATTCAAAGGGTCTTTTAAAGGAAGTTAAGATACTTTGCTTTAGGACAGCTGCTGCAGTAGATGCCAAAATTTATATACCCATGAAATGGTTTAATGTATATGAACTGTATCTCATCCTCTGTTAAACACCTGAATTATCAGCTCGAGTTGTCTTGGGTGATGCTTGTGTCCAGTTCAGGTCTGGACTTCATATGTGTGCAGGATAGTGTGTCTGAGCAGAATATATGGGCTGCCTATGGCACTGTGCACACCACAGCCTGGAGATACTTCCACTTCAGGGTAGCTGCAAAACCAGCCATAACTGGTGAAATCTATATGAAAAGGAGACATAAAGGGATTCATGTGTACATATAATTTAAAAGGTAAAGGCATGAAGTTCTGGTACTGAATGCTTGCTTCTTCCCTAATCAAAAAAACCCAAATAGTATGAACTTTAATGTTTGATTGATGCTCTAGTCCAATTGTCTAGTCACTTTCCTGTCATGGGAGAATAAATGTCAGAATTAAATGAAAGCAATGTGTAAGTATATCAAGAAGGAACACTTGAGTTTTTCTTTCAGTCTACTAAATCTGTCCTTTCAAACAGTTTCAAATCTGGAGACATCTTGCTGTGGAGCAAATATGTTAATGTATATGAAAGACACACTATTTCTTTAAAAAGCAGTTTTCAGATTACCTCTTTTTCCTCCTATGCTGCCCCAGCTTCAGTGGGCAGAAGTGTGAAATTTATCAGCCATTGGGACATCACCAAGACCAGGTCAAACCAGACAAGTCTATGTCCTTTGAGACAAGCTGCAAAGGATGCCTATGAGATCAGAATTCTTGGGGGGGATGCAAAAATCTGCTTGTCACTACAGTAAAACAGCAAAGGACTTGCATGAGCAGCTAGTCAGTAGTACTTGCAACTGATCTAATTTTAGAATTCTGATGTTCCTAGTGTGCACCTGCTGCCTTGATTGCGCATAGTTTCAGTTAAGTAAAGCAAATAAACTTCAGTTACTGTGCTTTTTTCCCTTTTAGGACTATTACCACAGCCAGGAAGTCAAGCAGCGTTTTATGGCTGCCATGCACAGCATTGCTCACCTGACAGCGAGAGACGTGGCCACAGCATTTGACCTTTCACGGTTTAAATCTGCTTGTGATTTAGGAGGTATTGCCTAGAATTGAACTTTTAAAGGGAAAAAACTTGATTTCAGTTCCACATTTGATTACTTAAAACATATCTTTTTTTTTTTTAACTAGAACTGCAGTAGTATTATCTACTGGTTTATTTCTGATGTTGCAATGTCAGAATAAAAGAACTAAGTGCAGTTAATTGAAAGCAGTTACCTAAATGGTATTTGAGTAGTTTGAAATAAGTGAGAATTTGTCTCGGTCAGTTACTTACTGACACAATTCAACACAGAAAAAACAATGGTTTGTGGCTCAGCTTGGTATTGAGCTGGGAGTTCCGTTTTCAGCTGTGTTGTTGAGCTTCTTTGGTATGTCCAAGGTTTTCAAAAGAAATGAAGGATTTAAGAATCCTTTTACATTGAAGTGTCAAACTTGAAACACTGCACTACTGGAATAAAAGGTTTCGATTCTTTTAGAATTGGGTCTTGTGTATTGTTTTAATTATTAATATATAAGATGTCCACCAAAATGCTGAATACCAGTGATATGCCTGAAGAAACCCTTCTTCTTAGCATCCTTTTTTGCCCTGTGCTTGGAGCTGCACAGAGGTAGTGTTATTACACAGGGAGAGATCCTCTGAAGGAAGACTTCACTTAGTGCTTGGGGAAGTGGATGGGGTGTCAGGAATCAACACAGTACTTGTGCAACCTTTGCCACTTGCCAGAGACTCCAAGACTTTTATTATCTTTATCCTTTACTATGCTGGAGAGTGTCACACCCTTGTATTGGTGCTTTGTAAATGCTAAACAGTTCTAGTGCTTTTCATCAACAAATTAGAAGTCCTTGCCTTTTCATTTACATTGTTCTACCCCAAAAAAACACCCCTGAGGTACTGGTATCAAAGGTCACATTAGCAATTCTGTGTCAGTCAGGAGTCTGCCTGGATTCCCCAAGCTTTAAAGCATTGCTCTATCCACCAGGAAGTGCTATTGCCCGTGTTAACTGTGGAGCTGACTCTCTATCACTGTCTTATTTGATGTCTCTGTTTTAATGTTCTATACAGCCTTGTCGTTAAAAATGCAAATGCTGGGAGAAAATACTTGGTTTGACTTCTTTAAACTTTCAACAGGTTGCACCGGAGCTCTGGCTCATGAATTAGTACAAATATACACAAATCTCAAGGTCACAGTATTTGACCTTCCAGAAGTCATTGCAAACACCTCTTACTTTCAGCCTTCAGGACAGCACACAGCTCAAGTGACATTTGTATCAGGTAAATGTAGCACATGACCTTTTGTCTGATTTCTGTTACCCTGCACACAGAACAGGCTCTTTTGCTACTTCTCCAACCCTGAACATGCATCTTAGTATAAGGCAGTGTAGGCTCACCCATGCTAAACTAGGACATTGTATTTCTCAAGCCTGTAGGGATTAAAAAAAATGGCTATGGTTGGAGACTGTGGATAAATAAGTATGAATTAGTTATTTTTGATTACCACTGGGAGTAGAAGCTGTATGTCCTTGTCTCAGGCATTTCACTTCTATGCAAGATCAATATGGTGGCTACAAAGGGTTTTGTCTCCTTCCTTGCTCTCCGTTTTTGTATGTTACAGGATTCTACTCTGCTCTTTAATTACACTTCCCATATCTGCAAATCAGAGCATACCTGAACCTGTTCATTCTTGTTACTTTCTTTACCTCTGCTGAAGCTCCTAGTTCCTCCACAATATTTTAATTTCATTTTGTAGGAATGTACTCTGTGGTTTCTGTAGGAATGTACTAACTCTGCTTTCCAACAGGTGACTTCTTCAAGGACAGTCTACCAGAAGCAGATCTTTACATCCTTTCACGTGTTCTTCATGACTGGCCTGATGAAAAGATACATGTGCTGTTAAGCAAGATCTCAGCTGTCTGCAGACCAGGTAAGGGTTTTTTTCATCTTGTGGGCTTAAAGGTGCATGTTAATGTACCATTAATGAGTAATCATGAGAAGTTCATGTTAAAAGGGCATATTTTCATGTTCTAACTAGACTAGTTCTGTCTAAATAAAGTTCCTCTCGGTTAATCAAGAACCTGGAGTTTGTTTTGCTGTCATTTGGCTATCTCAGTAGTGCTTAGAAAATGGTAAACTGTTGGAGTTTAGTACTCCTTTGTGCACACATACCATGAGAAATACATAGCCTTTTTGACTTTCTCCTGTGTTTGAATCATAGAATATCTCAATTTGAAAGGGACCCATAAAGGTCATCAAGTCCAACTGCCTGATTGCATGACTAACTAAAACTAGATTATTTGACTGAGAGCATTGTCCAGATGCTCCTTGAACTCTGTCAGGCTTGGTGCCATGACCAGTTCCCTCAGGAGCCTGTTCCAGTGATCAGCCATCATCTGGGTGAAGAACTTTTTTCTAATGTCCAATCTGAACTTCCCCTGATGCAGCTTTATTCCATTTCCTCATGTCCTGTCAATGGTCATCAAAGAGAGATCAGCACCTCCCCCTCCACTGCCCGCCTTGAGGAAAATGTAGATAGTGGTGAGGTCTCCCCTCAGCTGTTTCTTCTCCAGGCTGAACAAACCAGGTGACCTCAGGTGTGCCTCATAAATTTTGCCCCTGAGGCTTTTCACCATCTTGGTCACTCTCCTCTGGACACCCTCTAATAGTTTGGTGTCCTTCCTACATTAGGCACCCAAAACTGCACACAGTGAGGCTGCACCAGTGCAGAGTAGAGTGAGACAATCACCTGTGTACTCTGGCAGTACTGTACTTGATGCCTCCCAGGACACAGTTGTCCCTTTGGACTGCCAGGGCACACTGCTGACTCACATTCAATGGTATTAAACATCAGTGGAGAAGATAAAAAGTAAAAAATCCTGACTGCTAAGATGAGCTGATTCCTTAATCCAGCCGAAGCCCTGAAGTTTGTTTCAGAGGAGAGCATTCAAAATGAGATCTAGGCCATACAGTATCATCCCAGTTATAAATTATGTAAGAAAATTGTGAGTGACTGTCTTAATCATCTTATGCAAGGATTGTGGGATGACAGATGCTTGCAAGAGTTGCTTGGTTGAAATGAAAACAGGTGAGTTTAAGACCATAGTCAGGGAGTGATCTGAGCTTTACTGAAGTGGAGAGAGTGCTCTAAACTCCCCCTTTCATTTTAACAATTAAATAGTTGCTTCCAGGAAGAGATTGCTGAAAGTAAAGTTCTTTTACTGATTTCCACTGAAGACCATGAAAATATTAGTCTGAGTGGCCTCTAATTGTCCCTGAACAAAACACTAAAAACTTGACGCTCAGAATACTTACACTGAACCACTTTTGGTTGTTTTGGAAATGCAGGAAGTGCCTTGCTAGTGGCAGAAACTGTGCTTGATGAACAGAAGACTCACCCTTCTAGAGCTGTGCTACAGTCCCTCAGTATGACTGAAGGCAAGCAGAGAAGTGGCTCAGAATATAAACAGCTGCTGGAGAAATATGGATTCACAGATGTACAAATTAAGATCACAGGAAACTTATTAGATGCTGTTTTGTGCTTCAAGGAGAGTCCATCACTGTAGTGTGCACAGAAGCAAACTGGGATGCTGAATTCTTCCCCACTTGTGCAATATACCCATCATCAACCTGCACATGTTGTCAGTTTAGGATCATTTTGACCCTTTATCTGAAGCAGAGTTGTTACAAAAAGTTGGACTGCAGCTTCTGCAGGAGTGAGTTCTATGCATTTTAAAAAGTGTCTGGGGCAGGCCAAAACTCTTGTGTATGAAATGCCTTAATGTCCAGTTCTTGTGGCTAGTTTGTACACTGTATTAAGCTTTGACTTGACATCGTGGTGTAGCCTGTCAAGTTAAAACTACAAGCTTGTTTTGAACCACATTAAGACCTGCATTTTCCTGAATCATAAAATTAAAGAGAATTCTCCCTCTGCAGTGTACTCAGTGGTTAGTGCTCATTTTTATCAAAAATTAAAAAATAAAAGTTAAGATTGTACCGTCTGTCTGGATTTGGGGATGTTAGTCCTCTTGTCACTGTTCTGTGGGGCTTAACACAAAAACATCTCAAGGATATCTTTTATAAGGACTTTTTCTGCAAGCAAAAGTGAAAGCAGGACAACATGCGTTCCTGCAGCAGCTATAACATGACAGAGGAACTTCAGCCTCTGACCTCCAGTCACAGTATGTACCCACAGAAGCTGAAGTTGAGAGCTGTTCCTATTGCTTACTATCACTGTTGGGGTTTTCTGACTATGGTTGAATGGCCATATATGCTTTCTGTCTCATTACTTGAGATAAGTTTTGGGATTTATGTATAAAACCTCTTAGGAAAATTGAAAATAAAAGCTTCTTTATGCTTTAGTCTTTAACTGGAGAAGTGCATGCTGTATCCTATCTCTTCAAGTAATTTGCCACTAATGTCACCTCTCCCAACATAATTTTCCTGATACTTCATTGATATTTTTGTTCTATTTAAAGTGTACTTTGTAGTGGAAGCCTCTCTGAAGATTGAAGTTGCACTTTCAAACTAGCTTTCTTCTCTCAGATGCGAGTTTCTTGCCTGTCACACTTGTACAGCAATAATCCTAATAAACCAGTGTGAAAGAGGCCACATCAGTACTGAATCACCAACCTCAGCAAATTAGAGCTGATGAGCGAGGTCAAGAGTTGCATCTGCCTGGATATTACTTAATCAGAAGTTACTTTGCTCTTTGAGCACTGAGTAAAGGAGAAAGTGCTACAGTGATTCAATTCATTGGGAGAAACATGCTTACTACTGAGCATTTCAGCTGTACTAAGTCAGGGAAATGTCAGACTTTTACCACATTGGGGGTTTTAATTCTTAGCAGAAGGTTTTCACGAATGGAAATTTGATTGATCTTATCTGTACAGACATTTAAAGAGATAAGGCCAAATATCCAACAACTGAATAAATGTAAAATATTTTATTTCCACATTTACATGAAGCTTGCCATTAGCTTAACAGGTTTGTATGTTGAGAGAGACTTATTCCAGCAATTGGCTGTTTCTCATTCCACAGTTGTTCGTGCTGCTGTTCTTTAAGCTGCTCTAAGCTGTTTGAGTCACAGTTTCAGTCCTAAGGTTGGCAGACCTGTAACTGTCACAGACTGTAAAATGTGCCCCTAAGTACTATGTATCTGCCTGTAAAATTTGAATGGAATGTGCTTGGCTACCATACAACCTCATTGTCCTCTGTGATTAAAGCACAACACTCTTTACACATTAAACATTGGTCCCTTGGGCATGGTGTCTGTGGTAATGCACCACAGCTTTGCACTCTCAGGATAATTAAGCATAGGAGCAAGTTGCCCAGGAGGTTGTGGAATATCTGTCCTTGGCTACCAGATGTGAGAACAAAGCCCTGAGCAAGGTGAGCTGAGTGTAGAGCTGCCCTGCTGTGAGGGGGAAGTTTGACTAAAGATCTACTGTGGTCTGTTTTGGTCTCAGCTGTCCTATAATCATTTGAGGTAGCCCAGTCACCTGAGAAATTATAGGCTCATCTTCTCTCATTAATTTCCCAGATGAAGTTTTTCAGTTGCTGTGGAGAAAGCTGGTATCTTTTGCTGACTGGTAGAAGGGGTTGATATAATGGTCTAACACAAAAAGATTTCCTAAGCAATATGCCTAACTGAAGAAAATTTAGGCCTGTTCACTAATCAAGACATGAAGAATGAGGGGGATAAGTTTTAAAGCTTTTTGGCAATCATTAAATGTCTGAGGTGTATGAGTAGGAATGGCTTTGAGAAGATTGCCTTAAAGGTCAGAAAGATATGAATGTTATGCAGCACTTAATAATAACATCACTATAAACTGCTGCTATTTTGATCTGAGTTGGTGGCCTGCTACCCACTCTGTGCCAAGAGAAACCACCACATAAATAAGTAAAGCAGTGCTTGTTTTGTCAGTAGCTCTCTCGGCTTCCCTTTCCGCTCACAGTTCTGAAGATGGAGGAAAAGCCTGTGTGTAAATAGGGTCATTCAAGTTCTGCTCTCATCCTTAGGTCAGTCCCACCACAAAGACCTCAGTCCCTACAGAAATAATGTACAGAAACATTGACTTCTCTGCTTCTATAATGCTCACCATCCACTGTTTTGCCTACTTGGCACCATTTCAATTAGAATGTAAATCAGCAGTATATCCCAAAGAGATACAACTTTATTCCTCTCTTACTGTTTTTCATAACCCTCATGCCAAGTCTACAGAAGTCATCCCCTTTTCCCTGGAAAACAGAGACATGACTTGACTTGGGAGTGTTTGATCACCCCATCCTGTGAAAGGACATTTCCTGGGTTTTGTGAGAGGAGTGGATTATTCAGTTAATAGTGGATTAATCACTTAACAACAGAGCAAATCCATAAATGACAAAAGAAATCACCCATGTCTTGTAATTTGCACCCCTACATACAGTAGCAGGAATTTTCTTGCCTGATAATGGATTAGAACTGTTGCATGTATTTGTTTTTACATTAGGCTGTGCGATTTTGCTGGCTGAAATGGTGCTGGATGACGAGAAGAAGAAAAGGAGCACAGCTCTGCTGCAGTCTTTGAACATGCTTGTGCAGACAGAGGGAAAGGAGAGAAGTGGCTCTGAGTATCAAGCCTTGCTGGAACAACATGGATTCACAGATGTCAAAATCAGATTGACAGGAAATTTGTTAGACACCATTTTCTGCGTTAAAACCTAGGAAAAGAAACTGGATTTAGTGGTAAAATCTGGATGTGTCTACTCGTGTTTGATGTTTTGTAATTATGCAAATACATTCTCAGCTTCCCATCAACATCATAAACACGAAGTGCAGTAGCTTTCTGATGCTACTTTGAAAAAGGCAGAGAGAGTGATTACATTTATTTTAGACTTCAGTAAAATGATTCAGGAAGATTCTGGCAGTGATACTGTGGCTGCACACCACCTGTAGTACTTTCAGAAACAAGTCTCCAACGAAAACAGTGTCAGCAGCCAACGGCAGTATTCACATTGCTAAGAAGTCACAGTTTCTTCATACTTTCTGCAATTAGAAGAGCACAGTTTTTAGAGCAGCACACATTGCTTTGCCTCTATTTCAGGAGGTTAATGCTGGTCTCAATGCTCCATCACCATCCATTTTAATATTATTTTATGCTACACTCTCTACTGTAAATTAAAAAAAACACTCTCTAATAAAGTCTGGAAACTGCTACTACAATGGTGTAGTCAAGGTTGGAAACAAGAACTGAAGCAGCAGCTTCTTCAGAGAGTCAAGACAGACTCCTGTGCCTTTTGGATAAAGGCAGTTGTATAAAAGTGTAAGTTCATCTGTGATTGTAATTGGCGATTGTATGTGGGGGCACCACATTTGGTTCAAGAATATCCTCCTTAGCCCTACTTAATTCGTGAGCTCTTACGAAATTGGATAGCAGTATATGAGATCAAAGAAGAGAAAAGAGGGGGAAAAAGATGCAGAAACAGGAGGAAAAGCATAGTGATAGAAAAGGATTTCCCCCCTTCAGATGCAGGTGATCTCCCAAGGTGAATGTGGTGTGACAACTACTGACTGAATAGTTTCCCATCACAAGGCAGTTTTACCTTCATTTTTCACAATGACAATACTCAGAGTCTCAGGGTATGGAGTTCTTTTTAAATCAACAGAGAATTTTATTGGGAAAAAAATCTGAGCAGACATTCCGTTGTGCTGTGAGAGTATTAACATTCAGTTATGAGCTTGTTTTTAAAAGGAAAAATACCACACTAAGCTGTGTGTGCCTGTCTGATAATATGGTCCTGTAACACCGTATGTGCCTAACCCTGTGTGAGCACAGGAGTCACGTCACTCTATACATGTCATGGTTTAAAATACAGAATAGCACCAATTTACTTTGGATGTGTTGCTGTGCAAAAAACCCAAAGTATAGTGACATATCACCCACAGTATATTGTACTGGGGCAGAGAAAAAGGCACGTCCTGTTCTCACAATGTGCCCTCTGAGAAAGGTGCTCTCATTTTGAAAACCTGAAAAGTACATAGATGTATGTGTAAGCAGTGGTTACTGGCACCTCAGCTACTGCAACTTTGTCATTCACTAGTCATCTGTTAAAAAACCCAAATGTGTGGCTTTATTTACTTTGGGAGGAAACATTCATTAAAAGTGAAAGCAGTAACAAAACTGCATGTGAACTAATGCCCTCCGGCTAGAACAATTTCCAGCCTTAGTTTTAGAAGGAATAGGTATAATTTCAGACTGAAGCCTGACCACTAGGTGCAAAATATCACTTTGAGTATACAATAACATTAGCAAAGGTACTGACAGAAACCAGGCCTGTCTTAGCAGGGGCTGAGTGCTGACTCTGGCAACCTGCAGAGGATCTTTTCACAGTATCTCACTTTGAGCACTGATACAAGAAGCAGGAACCACACTTTCCCACTGTTGGTCTAAGAATTTAGTTGAAGAAGTTCCTTGGCATTTTATTATTTTGCGTCAGTTCAGTGATGTACAGAAAAGCCCCATGATGTGACACTTGGCACTGCAGTGATAAGGAGGAGGTGGGAACTGAACTTGGAAACAAGGATATGCCATAGATCAGCATTAGCCAGAGAGTGATGAGCACAGAGCAAAACCTGCTGTAGTGCCTGATAGTGCCTCAAATCTGCAGTCTGACAGATACAGCAGCTGCTGTCCCCCAGGACCCTGTGCAGACAGCTGTGCTTCCATCCTTCACTGACTTCCAGCAGTTGCTGCTGATGGAATCACAGAATCAATCAAGTTGAAAAAGAGATCATAGCAGCCTTTCAGTGTCTGAAGGGGCTACAGAGGAGCTGGAGAGGGACTCTTTGTTAGGAGCTGCAGTGATAGGACAAGGGGTAACAGATTCAGATTTAAGGCGAGGAAATTTAGGCTGGATCTTAGGAGAAAGTTTTTTACTGTGAGAGTAGTGAGACACTGGCACAGGTTGCCCAGGGAGGCTGTGGCTGCCCCAACACTGGCAGTGTTCAAGGCCAGGCTGGATGAGGCCTTGAGCAACCTGATGTAGTGGGGAGGTGTCCCTGCTCATGGTAGGGGGTTGGGACTAGATGATCTGGAAGTCCATTCCAGCCCGTAAAA